TTGCGGGACATGGAGCAGTTCCATGGTCACCACAGTGGCGTCGGCCTGTGGGGAAGGGGCAAGGAGGAGAGAACGGAAAGTGCAGAGACAGCGGGGGGGGGGGGGGGGGGGGGGGGGGGGGGGGGCACGCACACGCGCGTGTGTGTGGTGAGAGAGTCAGTGAAGAAAGATGCGAGATTCCGGAGGAAGGGAAGAGCAAAGACAAAGGGGTGAGGCGAAGGACCATGAGCTGCGACGTACCACCGAGGAGGATGTTGCGCCGTACATCAGCAGGCGAAGGGCCCCATTGGCGGCCACCGTGCCCGAGGCAAAGGTCGTCAGCTTGGCCTGCTCTTCCAGGGCAGCTTCAAAGAGCAGGGACAGCTGGTCGGCCGACAGGGTGCCGGCGTGCCCGGGCGCCGGCAGGGTCACCTGCCGCGCCTGGCCGGGCTGGGCAAACTGCCGCCAAGCCCGGCGGAAGCTCCCGGAGTCCAGCTCCAAGGCTGCCGGGGTCAGGGCAGACGTCCCGGGAGAGGAGGCAGAGGGGGCGGTGGCGGCGGCAATGGCCGCCCCAGCCGGCATGGTCGGCGGCGTGTCCAGCCCGAAGAGCTCGTCCATCGGCGACCGCGGGCTTCCGGAGAGGGCGACCGCCGAAGTGGAAGTCGCCGAGGAGAAGTCCAGTCCAAGCAGCTGGCTGGCCAGATCCTCGGGACTGGCCGAAGCACCGCCGGCCCGGCCCCCCGCCGAGAAGTCCATCACGTCCAGGAGATGGCCCGTGCCACCGGCGCCGGCTGACACGCCGGCCGCCGGGGCCATGGCCTCGCCGAGAAGTGGGCCCGCAAGCGGGTCGGCAGCCGGGGCAGAGGCCGCGGAAGTGCCGGCCACACGTCCAATCGGACCGGCCGACCGTGGCCTCTGGAGCATCGAGCTGAAGGGCGGCAGTGGAGTGGTGAAGGAGACCGCAGGCCGCTGGAAGACGACGCTCAGGGAATTGAACTCGAAGAAGTCGAGGAACTGTTCATCGGCCGGGGTCTTGCCGGCCTGGCCGGCCCCGGTGGCCGACGGCTGGCCGACAATCCGCTCGGCCTAGGGCGGTGCATGGATGTGCAGTCGGGGAAAGGGAGTCAGAGGGGAGGCTTGCGATGCGGGCGGAGGGGAGAGCAGAGCAGCCACGGCGGCAAGGGCGCCGAGAGCGCACCACTTCGGGCGAATAGTGCAGAAGACGCAAATAGAAGAGGGCTCGATCGCGGGTGTCGGCCTTGGCGAGGGGGAGCTCGGCGTCGATCTCGAAGCGAAGGATGCTTCAGGTGAAAGGGAAAAAAAGAGGGGGGGGGGATGGCCGGGGAACATGGGTGCTTGTCAGAGAGGAGCAGAGAAGGGAGAGGGAAGAAGGAGACGCCGGTCAAAAGGCCGAAAGTGGCCTCTCGCCCGCTGGTGGAATGGGCAGGCAGCGCACCGGGACAGGATTTGCTTCATGTTGGCCGGGTCCTTGAAGAAGAGGCGCATGGCTGCCGACAGGACGGCCAGGCGCAGCTCGGCCGATGTGCTCGGCCCAATGTCACGGCTAATTTCGTCCAGCAGGACGATGGACCCCTCGATGAATTGGCCGAAGTCCGCCATGATCCAAAGGAGCGACACGCGGGCTGCCTCGCTGGCCATAACCTCGAGCGAGGCGGACACCTGGGAAAGGATCTGCTCTGCACGGTCCGGGTGCTGCAGGAGGAGTTCTGAAAGCGCGAGCCGTCGGGGGATATGACAGGAGCCGGAGAGAGGGGGAGAGAGGGAGGGAGGGCGCGCGCGCGCGAGCGAGGGAGACGGAACGCACAGCGGAGAGGCGGAAAGACGGCGGCACACGCATGGCTG